GCCTTTCCCCAGGGGCTATGTCTTGCACTTCATGAGAAAAGGGTTGAAGAAATGGGCAACTTTGCACTGCACCCCAGGAGTAGCCCTCACCTCCTTCATGCCTATACCCAGGAGAGGGGCTCTCCTCCCCACCTCCATTCTTTCTCAAGTCTATGTGTGGAGAAGCCTACCAGTGGGAATTGGCCTTGGGAACTCTTTAGAATTTTAATTGTTTTCCTCTAATGGGCAACCAGTTTCTATGTCCTGTTTCTCTTTAAACAGGCATATCATTTTTGGGAATTCACTTCCCTTGGTTGCCTTGTGACCACAGCTCTGACAGAAACAAGAGACGTCATGATATTAGTTTGTCTGGATTTTTCTTATTAGTTTGTAAGTGACATTGTCTTTTGGCTTTCTGTATCGTAAGCCATAACCTGAACTGCACTTACCCTACTTCATGACTTTTACACTTATCTATTTCCAAGCCAAGAGCAGATCTGTAGCTTCATAGACTTCTTGCTAAACCTGGGCATTGGTAAGCTTTTGGAATACAGAAGAGGACATCATAGAGGAGGAGGGCTGGCTGAGGAGAAGCATCCATAGGCCAAGTAGCTTTCTATTACTTGCACAAAGGACCAGAAGTGGCGCTTTACTTTTCCCCATTTAGCACAGTAGGCCAGAAGCTGCATTTGACCTAGCTTTTCTTCAACTTGTTTTATTCTTCTAAGGTTCATCTTATTTTATACAGTGACCTTCAGAGTGACTGTTTTTTTTTTTGCTCTAGATACTCCTCTTACCCTCTGCTCATCTTGGAGAGCACATCAAAGTTTTAAAGATGTATGGAAAACCTTTCAGGGTAACCCTGCAAGGTAACCCTGATATGCCCAGCATGACTTATTCTTTCAATTCAGAGTTATTGTTATTGAGATAAAGAAAAGTCAGGCCTTGCTGTGCTTGTTTAATAGACCTAGTTCTTTCTTGGGATTTTTTTTTTTAAATGGTTTTGTTTTGTAAAAGTCACAGAAATTTCTTTAATCCAGTGTTTATTAGCTCTTTTAAATTCTAGACCCCCTTGATAAACATACAAACCCTATATCTTAGTGTTTTTATTTTTTATTCAAATGAAACAAACAAACAAAAAAACTCCAAAGGAACCAGAGGACAAAGGGCTGTTTTGTTTTCATCCTACCCCACTTTTGATATCCCCCACTGCATACCTAAATCAGTGTCTAGACTTGGTCACTATTTGGCAAGGGTATTAAATTTAGCTATTGGTACACCATCTTTGCATGTTTATTTAGGAATAATCAAATACAAAAATGGAAACAAACAGTTTTGAAGTATAGAAGACACAAGAGGCAATTACTTCCATCAGAGCATTAACTCTGTACGCCTGTAGACAGGACTCCAATCCTGCATATCAGCCTCTTTCTTCTCCAGAGTGAGCTAGATCAGTTGGATCAGTGGTAAGTACTTTGTTGCCAGTGGAAGAAATGAGGCCCGCTTATTGTTACCTTATTTCAGAATGAAAACTGATGAAATTGCTCATGGCTGTTTTAAGAAATTGCTGCTATTTAAATATCCAGATGAGCTCCTATTTTTAGCAACAAACTTCTGTTCAATAAGTTGGTTAGAAATCTGTATGTTTTTCATTATATATGACTGCTTCCACTTTAGTGCTCAACATAAATTCGGTAAATATTTTTTATTCATCCTGAATTTGCTGTGATACAGAAAAGTTTCCTTGACCTCTTTCTAGCACATCATTTTACCTAAATTCATTCCTGGCACAATATTGTTATATTTTAAATAAGTGTTGCTTAATATGTAAGCAACATTTTAAGCTTCTTTTCAGTTGTAAAATCTATGATTCTTTATCAAGGAATACAAAATTTCAGCGTTTGGTTTTCTTCTAGTCCAGACCTTTTTTGTGTACTTTTTCTTTTGATACCAGTGGGGCAGCAAAGATGCCCTGCGTGGCTGCGTTTCCATTTTGTGGTATTCACCATCCAGAAGCATTAGGTGATGAGTGCAAACTCACCATGTAACAGCCATCTCTGAGAAAGAACTTACTTAAACCTTGAAAAAAGTATTTTGAGACACCTCCATCTCAGCAGAAACCTGTGCTTTTTCCTTTGGTTCTAGGTAATTAGTGCATTCACACACATGTAGTCGTTTGTGAACATTTTAGAATTGAATTTAAACTAACTTGAATTACGATCAGATGCCTGGTCACTGTTGGGCTGAAGAATGAAAGCCAAGTTGAAATGAGTAGAACTGAGATAAAGATTCCAAATGTTAGGCAGTTTGGGACCCGTTCTCCTGCCCCTGAACTCTGATTCTGTGTCCCTCTCACACAAGTGCTTCTGTCTTCCCTTCCTTTCTTTTTGCCATGGGGGACCAGATGGCCTACTTCTCTAGTCGTCATATCCACCTGTTACTCCCAGCCAGAGATTCTGGTCTATCCAGTGACCTGAGTGAAGCTCGCACCTGCTATCCTCTGTGTTGGTCTCTAAGCAAGCACACTCTTCTATATGAGTTTTCTAATGGCTTTACTGCTAGTGGGAAGGGAGAAACAGATTGCTTCATGCAAACCTTGGTGTGCTGTGGAGAGGACAGCATTGTTGTAGCCAGCAGCATATGGAGGGGGAGGAGGAGACAGGAGGTATCTGGTAAGGGGTGTCCCTGCTGTCAATATATCAGCAGTGCTTTGGTGGCTGTCAGGTGCTTGTGTCTGCTTTCAGTAACCAGAAGTCCAATCAAAGCCTGGGCTGGTTTGTGAAAAGAAAAGCAATGTTCATAAAGGAACTACCTATTCTTAGCATGCTGCCTGTCCCACAGACATGGGTGTGTTAGTGTGTATGTATGTTGTGTGTATTAGCCAACTTTGCTATTCAACTTTTTTCTCTTAATTAACAAACAGACCTATGAATTTGTAATGAATCAGAAAGTGGTAGTAGAATATTAATCAGTGTGTATGATGGCGGAATAAAGGATTACAGTGCTGAAAAAATACTAGATGTTTTAATGGATCAGTGATAAACACCTCCATTTATCTTTGTGACTTCTTTTTACTGGTGGCACTTTGAAATATAATTTATAAAGATTATGAAATTTCCTTACTAAGTTAGTGTGTTGCCTTTATTAAAGGTAAATGTGTCTTCTTAGACATAAAGACATCCTTCATTCTGAAAAATGGGGAATTTATACATTTTTTGTGCCCTTATGCATGGCTGATTACAAATTTAATTTCATGCCAGCTGACTTGAATAGACAGAATGCAATCTATGCTTTAGGGATTTGGAATAGCTATAATACAATATATCTTATAGATACAATTAGCACAGTTTTTACCACTTTTGCACTTTATTGTTCTGAGGATACAGTTATGAAGAAATACTCTGCCTGGTGGCTTTTATGTTTTATCTTGGCACTCAGATAACAAAAGCCTCTGTGGTTCATTTTGAAACTTTGAGGGAAATGATACCCATATGATTTAAAGTTTTAAGTTTAATTATCTTCTGCAAATTGCTTTTGGAAGTATAGGTAGTCAAAAAGTAAAAGTGGTTTTAAATTTTAAACATAGAAAGTAGCATAATGGTTTTATGAAATATAGAGGATTTTATTCAAAATAGATGCTATCCAGAACAGGAAAATCAGAATTGCCTTTGTAAAATATTTTGCATGCTTTTTTCTTTATTGCCTTGAAAGTTATATAATCCCAACCCCCACCCTTTTTCCCTAATACAAAGGCTTACTGAAAATTTATGATCTCTGTCTCATTACAGATTTCATATACCACCTGAGAGGCAATATTGTGTTTTAAGTTAAAATCACAAAAGATGTTTTGAGGTCATTTGAGCAACTCTTTTTCAAACAAGAAAGGTATACATATGGGAAGGTCTTAAACAACACAGATGTAGATGCCAATCCTTAAGTTGGGAACCTCTTTACTCATGCAGGAGAATTGAGGAGTACATTATTGGTGGTGCAAAGTTGTTTGGAAATAGATGCTACTTGAAGTTTTACACTTGGGTAGTGATAATAACCTATTTATATTGGAAGTACTTAGATGATATTATTCTCAGCATCAGCCTGGTACACACTAGTAAATTTTAATAACCCCAACTTTAGAATTTCAGAAGTACCCCCCAGATATAATAAAGATCTCCCCCTCAGACCTAATACAGTTGCAAGGGTAAAACCATATATCTGAACTATTTAGGAACATGACTATTATAAGACTCCAAAGAGTCTTTTCTGCTGGTATTCCAGTGTATATCCATTGAACACACATTTTAATAGTTGATACTTGGCACTTTCTTGTTATGTGTTATAGAGTCCAGAAATAGCCCAAACATCTCACTGAACCCTAGTGGCCAGGAAATGATTTTCAGACTTAATAGTGTATATCCCCATGATGTGAGGTGCTGCCTAAAATGCCACTTCCTGATACCATCCCTATAGAGCTGACATCCTAGAGTGCTTAGGAATCTACAATTAAATCAGATAACCCAGAGAATTCTAAGGTAGATGATCTGGTGACAAGCTGTTAGGACACACTGATGAAGGAGACATATCCCCTCTCAGGACCTGCTTCATGGAGTTGCTTCAAGACCTGTGCAATTGTACAAGCCCCACACTCAGAAGGTCCCCATACTTGACTTAATGCTCTTCTGTTATCTTCTAGAAGGTCTTAATAATTTTTGAGTAGGACTCCTACATTTTCATTTCTCTCCAGGCCCTGAAAATTATGTAGCCAGTTCTATATACAGATTTCATTGTATGTTACTGAAATCGTGTTCCTTGGCAAGAATGAATTGAAGGTATTTGATAATGATTTCTTATCTGTTGGTATTGGGCTGTAAACTCCAAGGCTACTTCTGAGCTTTAGAGGTGAATGAGTATCCTTCACCACAGGACCCAGAATAGGAAATCCTTATATTAAATTTTAATTAGTAATCCTGAACACAGACACCCATGTTTATGTTATTCTAATCCACTTTTTTTTTCCCTCCCAGGATGGTACAAAACAGAAAAGGGAGCGGAAGAAGACTGTGTCGTTCAGCAGCATGCCCACTGAGAAGAAGATCAGCAGTGCGAGTGATTGCATCAATTCCATGGTCGAAGGTTCAGAACTCAAAAAGGTCCGCTCCAACTCTAGAATTTACCATAGGTATTTTTTACTAGATGCTGACATGCAGAGCTTGAGGTGGGAGCCATCGAAGAAGGATTCTGAGAAAGCCAAGATTGATATTAAATCCATCAAGGAAGTGAGAACAGGAAAAAATACAGACATATTCCGTAGCAATGGCATTTCTGACCAGATATCTGAAGATTGTGCATTTTCAGTCATATATGGAGAGAATTATGAGTCACTTGATTTGGTTGCCAACTCTGCAGATGTTGCAAACATCTGGGTCACGGGACTGCGGTACCTAATTTCTTATGGCAAACATACCCTCGATATGTTGGAAAGTAGCCAAGACAACATGAGGACTTCTTGGGTTTCACAAATGTTTAGTGAAATTGATGTAGACAACCTTGGACATATAACTCTGTGTAATGCTGTGCAATGTATCAGAAACCTCAATCCTGGTTTAAAAACGAGCAAAATTGAGCTCAAGTTCAAAGAGTTGCACAAATCAAAGGACAAAGGTGGCACAGAAGTCACAAAGGAAGAATTTATTGAGGTTTTTCATGAGCTTTGTACTAGACCTGAAATTTATTTCCTTTTAGTTCAGTTTTCAAGCAATAAAGAATTCCTTGATACCAAGGACCTTATGATGTTTCTTGAAGCAGAACAGGGTGTGGCACATATAAATGAGGAAATAAGCCTTGAAATTATTCACAAATATGAGCCATCCAAAGAGGGCCAGGACAAGGGCTGGCTGTCTATAGACGGGTTCACTAATTACCTTATGTCACCTGACTGTTATATTTTTGATCCAGAACATAAGAAGGTCTGTCAGGATATGAAGCAACCTCTGTCTCATTACTTTATAAACTCATCTCATAATACATATTTAATAGAGGATCAGTTCCGAGGTCCCTCTGACATCACAGGATATATTCGGGCTCTTAAAATGGGTTGCCGGAGTGTCGAATTAGATGTATGGGATGGGCCAGATAATGAACCCGTAATTTACACCGGCCACACTATGACCTCTCAGATAGTCTTCCGCAGTGTCATTGATATTATTAACAAGTATGCATTCTTTGCTTCAGAGTATCCTCTTATCTTGTGTTTAGAAAATCACTGTTCTATTAAACAACAGAAAGTAATGGTTCAACACATGAAGAAAATTTTGGGAGACAAGCTCTATACCACTTCACCCAATGTCGAGGAATCTTACCTACCATCCCCAGATGTTCTGAAAGGGAAGATACTAATCAAAGCCAAGAAGCTGTCCTCAAATTGCTCTGGAGTAGAAGGAGACGTTACTGATGAAGATGAAGGAGCAGAAATGTCTCAGAGGATAGGGAAGGAGAACGTGGAGCAACCCAGCAATGTGCCTGTGAAGCGATTTCAGCTTTGCAAAGAGCTGTCTGAACTGGTCAGCATCTGTAAGTCAGTTCAGTTCAAGGAATTTCAGGTGTCATTTCAGGTTCAGAAGTACTGGGAAGTCTGTTCCTTTAATGAAGTGCTTGCCAGCAAATATGCCAATGAAAATCCAGGGGACTTCGTAAATTATAACAAGCGTTTTCTTGCTAGGGTCTTTCCTAGTCCGATGAGAATCGACTCCAGTAACATGAACCCTCAAGATTTTTGGAAATGTGGTTGTCAAATCGTAGCCATGAACTTTCAGACTCCAGGGCTGATGATGGACTTGAATATTGGCTGGTTCAGGCAGAATGGAAACTGTGGCTATGTCCTTCGGCCGGCCATCATGCGGGAGGAGGTTTCCTTCTTCAGTGCCAACACGAAAGACTCTGTCCCGGGAGTCTCCCCTCAACTTCTTCACATTAAAATCATCAGTGGGCAGAACTTTCCAAAGCCCAAAGGATCAGGTGCCAAAGGTGATGTGGTGGACCCTTATGTCTATGTGGAAATCCATGGGATTCCTGCCGACTGTGCAGAACAAAGGACAAAAACAGTGCACCAGAATGGAGATGCACCCATTTTTGATGAGAGCTTTGAATTTCAAATCAACCTGCCTGAGCTGGCCATGGTGCGCTTCGTAGTGCTAGACGATGACTACATTGGGGATGAATTTATTGGTCAGTACACAATTCCCTTTGAATGTTTACAGACGGGCTACCGCCATGTCCCCCTGCAGTCCTTGACTGGAGAGGTTCTTGCTCATGCTTCTTTGTTTGTGCACGTGGCCATCACTAACCGAAGAGGAGGAGGGAAGCCTCATAAAAGGGGCCTTTCCGTGAGAAAAGGGAAGAAATCCAGGGAATATGCATCTCTGAGAACGTTGTGGATTAAAACTGTGGATGAGGTGTTCAAGAATGCCCAGCCCCCCATTCGGGATGCCACAGATCTGAGAGAGAACATGCAGGTACGTGCTCATGGTCAAGTGTTCACTCAATGGTTGTTCTGCTGAGTGCATGTCCACAGCTTAGGAACGTATTGGTCTTTTTTTTTAATGAGTATATTTAATTTCAAATAATATGTAAATTTCAATTATTATTAGAAGGTTTGCCTCTAGTCTCATTTCTTATCATTTAAATTTCCAGAACTACAATTGTTCAAAATATAATGGTTAGAATAATCTAGTTTTGTTGCTTCGTTGCTCATCCCAGTTCCTGTTAAGGACTAATTCACAGTTCCTATTTTTTTCTAATAGTATGCATTGGAATCTGATATTTCTTGGTTGTAACACAAGCATATGACCCCTCAAAACAAAAAGGGATATGGGTTACAGTAAAAGAGCGCCGTGCTCCTGGCCTTTCTCGTGGTGCTGCAGTGCTGGGAAGATAGTAGGCCCTTAAATGAGTCAGTGTGTTTGCATATTGACCCGTCTCTTGATTTTAGAGGCTTGCTAATTGTTTAAGTAAAAAACATGTGGTGTCTCTATTTATTGAAGTCGAAGGTACAAATGACTTCTGAAATATATAATAGCTGAAAGCAATCAGTTAGGAACTGTGTATTTAATTAAGCATGTCTACAAGCCTAACCATGTGGTTGAGCCTCTGTGTGAGTGATGCAGAAGTGGACAGCAAAGACCCGCCACACAGAGGTATCGACACTAGCCAGTCACAGTATGTTTGGTACCATGCGTGATAGGTGCTCTGTTTGGTCTGTTTATTTTTAAATGATTGTTATAAAAATGACATCAGCAGTAAACTCTGGTTCAGAAAATGTACTGTCTAAATGCTTTTCCCATCTACCAATTCTGCAGATTCTTCATGAAGAATAAGCCCTTCCTGTAATAGGGACATATATTTTCTTTCTCTCAAGGTAAAAGCATAACTGAGATGTGGAGGGCTTTCCCACTACTGAGGGTACAAGTGTTGGGTAAACCCTCAGCTCCAAGCAGGACACACTGTCCCTTGCCTGGTGGCTGCTGGAGTGTATGTGCCACAGAATTCCCCTGGGGACCTGCCAAAGCCAGAGCATCATCTTTTCCAGAGCCTGCATCTGCTCTGAATCCGACAGCCCAGTGGGTGGTGATATTTGATGGTTGCCTGCTGTCACGGGCAGTCTGGCCGCAAGCATGTAGCAGTGAACCAGAAGCCAGACCACCTGCCCTCAAGGGACTTGTCCTGTAGCTGGGGGTGGGCGTTGGAAGGGGAAACAAACAGTAAGTACATGAATATACAAATAGGACAACTGCAGATGCTGTGAGTGCTATGAAGAAAATAAAACAGAGAGGTATGCTGGAATGATCAGACTCTACTTTATATATCACAATAATGATTTATTTTTATTCAGTCATATCAAAGTGATTTTGAGTGAAATTACTTATAGTTTAAAACATGAGTCTGTTTCCTCCTCCATAACATGGCTTGTTGAGAGGATTAAATGAGGTAATGTGTAATACATATGCCCAGTATAGCCTAGACTTTGGAAATGCTCAAAGAATGCCAGCTCCTGACATTTTACAGTGTTGAGGGTTTTCTTTAATGGATATTTTAATGAGATGCCTCTGGTGATTAGAACACAAGAGAGTCGCTGTTGTGATGGTCTACGCCTGTAGTCCCAGCCATTTGGGAAGCTAAGGCAGGAGGATTGCAAATTTGAGGCCAGCCGGGGCAATTTAGTGAGACCCTGTTTAAAAATAAAGGGGGAAAAAAAAAAAACCAGGACTGGGAATGTAGCTCAGAGGTAGACTGCTCCTAGGTTCAATCCCCAGTACCGCCATGTGGGGGAGTGGTTTGTGGGGTGGGGTGAGGGTTACAGTGGAGAAGGGCAGGGGAGTTGCCTTGGAGATGCTAAAAAGGGAAAGGCAAGGGGAACCAGGACCCCTGCTGGGCAGACCCTGCAGTGAAGAGCAGCTTCTTCAAAGGTCCTGTAAATTTGGAAACTTGGTATAAACAGGTGATATTTCTTTCCTTTCCTTTTTGGGTGGCTGGTGTATTTGATACTTGTTTCAAACCGGATTTGATTTTTTTTTCTTAATCTTTACCTTTTCCATATGCAGAGGCCATTCTTTTTATTTGCTCATACTTGCATATAAATATTGCACTACTGTGAACTTTGATCTGAAAAAAGGCTTTGACCTTTGGAAGAATTCAACTTATTTACATTTTCAATACTTTTGATAAATTAGTACTACAATTGTCTGTAACCGTATTTACTTAGGAAAATAGTTATTTTTTCCAAGCATAAATAATTATTAGCCAATTCTGTCATAACATTGCCAATAACTTTTATACTAGGTTCCAATATAACCAGTTATATCAAGTATAATATCCAGGAGAAATTAATTAATTACCAAGTGCCTCCTTTTTTGCCCTTTGACAGAATGCAGTGGTGTCCTTCAAGGAGCTGTGTGGCCTGTCCTCAGTGGCCAATCTCATGCAGTGCATGCTGGCGGTGTCTCCCCGCTTTCTGGGGCCTGATAACAACCCCCTGGTGGTCCTGAATCTCAGCGAGCCATATCCCACGATGGAGTTACAGGGCATCGTGCCAGAAGTTCTGAAGAAGATTGTAACGACTTATGACATGGTGAGTGGTGTTTGTCCCATCGTGTAGGCTGGTGCCAGAGATGTCTTTAGACAACATGCCATATGTCCTGAGGAGCTCTTGCTGAAGTGTGCGTTTTTATTTCATGCTTCGTTTGTCTGTGTCGGAGAAGTAACTCCCCTAGCCTTTCTGTAATGGAAAGAGTTTAATGTTTTGTTATTGTTTTAGAAAGCAGGATTCATTCAGAGAATTACTTGCTCACTTGCTTCAGTTGGATTAAACATGAGTTAGCTTCTCAAGAACTATGTCTGAATTGATTTCTAAAGGATGCCTTATTTTCTACATATATGTCGTAAAGAATTTTATCTCCTCTTGTAACCATCTATTGATTTCTTTTGTTTTCATATCTCAACCTAGTGAAGATGAGAAATTCAATTTAAAAAATAAACTTGGAATACCAGAAGGGGCAGGTGCTGCATCTCATTATTCTACTGCATGATGGTTTCCTTCTTGCAGCAGCTGCTCTGAGACACCTGTGTTTGTCATCAGCTTAATGTTAATGAGGTATCCTCAGGACACCTAGAATATTACATTTTTGCACTTAAGGTCTGTCTTATATTTTCTTTTTTTTTAAATTTTTTTTAGTTGTTGATAGATCTTTATTTTTATTTATTTATATGTGGTGCTGAGAATCGAACCCAGTGCCTCACACATGCCAGGCAAATGCATTACCGCTGAGCCCCAGCCCCAGCCCTAGTTCTGTCTTGTATTTTCTTAATTGCATTTCACTGTTTTTGTCCTTTATGATTTATCATAACTCTATGAGAGAATTTAATGGGCGAATAGCACCTATTTCAGGCTCACGATGTAGTTAAAGTGATCAGAACTCACTGTGTATACTGGTAGTGTCTTGTCAGCATGTCAGGGTTAAGCATAGGACACTCCCCTTCCAGATAGGCCAGTTTGACATCCTTTACCATTCAGGGTAGTTGGGGGTAAAATTCTCATCCACCACCTCCTCCACTCTAGAAGCCCAAGCTAAGGCCACAGAGCACTAGGCTTTCTCTGATGTAGCTTACAGTGCTCAAGGACCAAACAAGATTGGCATCATATATCTACACTGAAACGTTTTTTGAAAACATTTTTGACTGTTTTCATAAATTGGTCTGAAAGTGGTAGATTAGAGAGATTTATGAAATTAAAGGGAAAATTAAAAACACTTCAGGTCAGCATTTTCCATACTATTCTGAGGAACCTTGGTTCTTTAGGATGTTAGTAAATACCACATGGGGAGATGGTTCCATGATGAAGTACTTCAGGGAAATACTAGTCTGAACAAAACTGATCAGATACCATTCTTATAGGATTTCTCGGAGCCTTATCTTTCCTGGCACACTGTGCTCCAAGAGGGCAGTGGACATGGATAGTTATCTTTCCTGGCACACTGTGCTCCAAGAGGGCAGTGGACATGGATAGAGCACGCCCTATTTCACATGTTGGCTTGACCAATAGACTCCTGTTTCCAAAAACAAAAGTTCTGAAGAACACATTTTGGGAAATGCTTCTTTAATCTTTGAGTAAGTCGGGAAGTACAAGCCAGAAGAATGTAATTGTTTTAAGCAATTTATTAGTTTATTACCTCCTAAAAAGGTGATTTCAAAGCTATTTCCCCATGTTCCTGTGAAGCAGGCACACATTGTAGTGGCTGCTCATATCCTCTCCTATTTCTAGCTCAGACTTCGTGGAAACACAAGAGATGTGAGGGACTGAACACTGGACACCGTGGCAAACTACAGGGAGAGTCACCCACCCTGCAGAAAGTAGGAAGACTAGGGTTAGGTATGTCTGATAACCCTTGAGTGATGCTGGGTGCCAGAGGGCTACAAAGATGAGCATGAATGGCCTCTGTCTGGGAGCCAGCCAGTCCACTAGAAAATGATGGAGGAAGGACAGAATTGCCATAATAGGCTCATGCTGGGATTTCTTGGGAATAGGGAAAATGGAAAGATAGGAAAAAGAGATAAAAATGGAGAAATTTGAAGTAATTTGCCACGCTGTGAGCTAGACTATGCAGTTAGTTGCTGATTCCAGGTTTTATGGGAAGATGCCAGAGAGAAGTAGCAGATGTTTATAAGTGAATGCCTTTATTTATTTATTTATTTATTTTAATTGGTGCTGGAGATCAAACCGAGGGCTTTGCATATGTTCAACAAATACTGTAGCACTGAGCTACACCACAACTCTGTAAATGCTTTTCTAGCTTGAGCCACAAATAAAAATCATAAACCTACTTCATTGATCATTTCAGTGACAGTCATATAGTAACGTTTCTTCACTTTAAGGTTTTTGACAGGGACTTCCTGACAGCGGAGTGGGGGTCACCATGTAGGTGATGACATGGTTGACTGGCGCTGAGTGTAGATCAGAGTAGAGTTGAAAGCCTGGCTGAACTCTTAGGGTCTCCTTAAAGCTCTTTAAGGACACAGAGACTGCCACAGCACCCACAACTATATTTGGCACAGGAATTGCTCAATGTCTCCTGCCCCTTCCTCTTCCTGGACTAGTAGATGACAACACTTATTGCATAACTCTTGTTTGCATCTAACTATATTTGTGTTATTCTAGAAGGAATAAGCTTGTTTAAAAGTTTTAAATTGTGAGACTATTCTTTTCTCATGTTTAATTGAAATAGCTGTGCTGCTTGATACTCCATGGTTTATAGATTTGTTTTGTTTTTAATTCCTTCTGGTAAATTTATGTTATAAAATATTTAAAATTAAGTTCAAATTATTGCTGCAGCAATATTATAACTCTTAGAATATTTTATGGACTTTTTTAGTGACTTAATAGTTTCTCACCTTATGACAATTAATTAAAGCTAACTAGAATAGGGAAAACGTTGATGGGAAATGTATTATGGTCGTGGACAGTCTGTAACTTTAAATATAGCTCTTTATTTTTTATAGTGTTATATTGAGCTTGGCCCAAAATTAACCTTAGGAGAAAGATCTTATTTCTTTGTTGACTTCCCATTTATAATTTGAAGACTTCAAATGAGAAGTAAGAGTGGGTTGAGAAATCCCTGTCCAGAGCGCCTGTGTTGTTGTGTGTCTGTGCTGCTGACGCTGGTCCTGCTGAGGACAGTACTGTGCTGGCTCCCATGGATGAGCAGGTGTGTATTGCTGCCATCCAGACTGAGATTGCTTCTCATTTTATACACTCTGGATAATGAAATGGAGTGTCATAAATGTGCCAGTTTCTTTTTGAAAAGGGGGAATGCAGATCATGAACAGAGAGCAGTGTGGAAGCCAGCAATGAGGCCAGAAAGGCAGACCCATGCACACAGTGTGGCTGCACATCCCAGTTTTCCTAGGATAGGTCTTGTTCATATATACCTGTTGTTCTAGAATAATTGTTAATCATTCTCTTGTTGTCTCTTGAAAATATTCCTATTCAGAAGAAAAGGAAAGAAAATTAATCTTTAAAACTTTTAACTATCCCTATTCAGATGGTCAGTTGTGTTGTCACCTACCCATTGACCCTAGATTGTTCTTATGTCTCCTGTGATTACCACCAATAGGCAGACTTTCAAAAGTCCTGATTGTGGTTTTACCCTATTTGTGATGTCCCCCATGATGTTGCCATGGAGTGGAAAAGAGCTTCATGTTAGTGGAGGTTTACTGGGTAGACTGGGCCTTTAAATGGCACTTCCTTGTCTCCATGGTCCTGGTGTCCGTAAGTACCTCATCCCATTTCTTAGGGACTAAACCTATGAGGATTCAGCTTATTCCTCTAGGTCATCTGGACTCCTCCAGTCTACCCTCCCTGATTCTTAATGGAAAAGATCCTTGAGTCCCTTTATTCAAACCTAATATTTTCAACAGATGGGGAATGACTTCCAGTTATTGATCAGTATTGCAATATACCATATACATTATTATGTCATACATCATGACCAGATCAGAGAGTTGTGCTTTTTTACTTAAATAATTGATTTGGTTTAGTTAAGATATCATATTGGTTTCTTCTGAAGTGGAATATAGTAAAAAAATTGAATTTGTTTATTTTAACAAAGCATATAAAATAAGTAATACTTGCATTTTCCTTTTTAAATATATATATATTTTAGTTGTAGATGGACACAGTTCCTATATTTATTTTTATATGGTGCAGAGGATCAAACCCAGTACCTCACATGTAGGCAAGTACTCTACTACTGAGCTACAACCCTGGCCCAAACATTTGCATTTTCATTGGTGAAATCTACGCTTATTTACAAACTCTTATTACATGCAAGGTCCTGAGCACTCATCCAACAACACATATTTACTGAGTACCTACTGTGTACCAGGACCTGCATACTCTGTATAATGTACAGTTTTCTTAAGGATGGATCAGTACTGTGTTTCAAATGCACCCCTATCCTCATCAATATAAGAGATCCAGTTCACCATCTTTTGAAACTGAAATTATTTTTACCAACCTTTTCTTGTTGATGACAGTGAGAAGTCAGCGCTCTAGCTATTTTTGTTTATTAGATCCAGATTTACCATCTGCTTTAGACTTGAATTAATAAAATTTTTATGAGGTCCATACTAACACATGGGGACCAAGGAGTCAGCATTCTTGCTCTATAGAGAGAAAACATTGGGAATATAAAGGTTTTGTGAAGTATTATATTTTTTTAAAAGTTTTTGCAACTTTTTTGATTTTGTTAGTTTTTCTATGATATGAAATATGCTTTGATCAATGTAATGAAATTGAAGATGAAGTTGTAGGTAGTGAAAAAGCAAGAAAAAGAAAAAGTAAAGATGATGAAAGCCAGTGCTGTCTTGCAGGCATATGGTGGTTCACACACTGTGGCAGACTCTTGGGCAGCCCCTACCTGTTTGGAGGTTTTACACAAATTCATTCTTATCACCACTGTTCCTTTGTTTCTACTTTCCATTTGCAATTAATTTGTTTTGATCATTTCCTTGCAACTTAACAAAAATCTTGGTTTTAATTACCTTCAGGTTTAATTAAGAGAGCATACTCTGAGG